TTGCACATGAGGTTAAATCTTAATCAGGGTTGATCCTGGACTCTGATTTCAATAGGAACACACATATCAACCCTTCATTTAGCTAGGGTATTTTCTTTGTTGCATTTAATGACACACATTCTATATATATGCTCAGACACTACATTAATCATTGAATAGCCCAAACTAGTTTCTGGTTAAAGGATGTCAGTATTTCTAAATCAAAGAAAATAACTTCTGGGTGTCTTGGAGGCCCACCTCTTACTTTACAAAAAAGCAATTAGCTATATTCCTAAATCTTCCCTCCTCAATGCCCCAGAGGAGCTATAAATTTAACCTGATCAGAAGATAGGCCATTTATAAACAGAGCTTTGCAAAGATTCCCTGCTGCTGACAGATCCCCCTAAACTGACATTTTAAAACTAGGTTAGGGCCACTAACACTGCATTGACTTTGCGCTTAACTTTTTACACTTTTATTGTATTTGCATCCTATCCAAGGTGTCCAGTCCTGTGAGATATGTTACTCTGAGAGTCACTCAGCAAGTTTCATACCTGGGGACTAGAATCTGGTTCTCTGGAGTCCCAGGTTGAACATACCACACTGGCTCTTAATGCAGATTAAAAAAAATAGAGAGACTGTCACCTGGGGTGAGGGATAGATTAATTATGGGATTCTTATAAGGGCATTCAACCCTTTCTTCTCCTGCAGCAGTCAGGAATTAAAATCTGTCCTCTGATGCTAGTATTTGCTTTAGAGAGGGGGAATCTTCCATTGCCTGCAGTGTGAACAGCAGCACCAGGAAGCAACATTGCCAGGTTGGACCTTCTGAGCTGTGTATCCAAGAACACAGCAGAGTTTTTCAAGCGTTCAAAGAACTTCACGAAAGTTTAATTTGGCAGTCTTTATGACCAAACTACGAGCAGTTTGTTTATTTATTTCCCACCAAATAGCTGAAACTCTTGAGTGGTTCACATAAAGATTATTATCGCTATTTTGCAAGCAGCAATGGATTCAGGGATGGTGGCTTAATCAAGGTCTGTCTTCCAGGTTCAGGCCTAAGAACTGGGCACTTCAGGCCCCACTCGGATCACCTTGGCACATTGCTTAGACCTCTGACTTCCTAGAATGTGAACGTTATCTTTCCATAGCACTTTACAAGCAACTAGTCTCAATAGGCAGTTCTGCAAGAAAAGGTGAATTCTGTATCATATCAATGGTATACATTTGTACATGGCCTCATATTATTCTGCTTCTGTTGTTCATGGAGTGGTGCAAAGAGCTAGTGGGGCACTGAAGATGTACAATGCAACTACTGGAAATTTTGTACAGACCCACCTTAGGCTTCTGAGATTGCTAAATGCACTGTGTAAGCACTTTCAAGTTTATTTTTGAAATGTTAGGGGCTAGAAACTTGCTTAAAAAAACAAAAGGAAGCTGAGCTTCTTGGAATCTTGAAAGCACTACACCCACTACTAAATTCCACAGTTATGAGCTTTAAGTATAGAACTAAATTACCGAACACACATTGCCATGCATGTGTCTTGGGCTGAAGGCGAATGAAGCAGCCACTTTGCTGAAGCTAAACAGTGTTTCAGTGCTTAGCAGGAAGACCACTTAGGAACCACATGTAGCTACCTTGAGTTCCATAATAGAAGAAAGGTGGGCTATAGATATAATACATTAAAAGAGAGCTCCAATTTCCCAATCTTTCCTTTTATTCTGTGTCCTTTGCTAGAATTCCTTTTATTCTGTGTCCTTTGCTTTCCTGCTATTCTGCGTCCTTTGCTAGAATGCCAAGATTTACACAGTATGAAGATTATTCATCACCTACAGAAGCATCTCATAATGCACCTGCTGGGCTTATTTAGTCCATTCAACCCCAGTAGTTAATTTCCCCAAGAGAGTCTGCATTGCATCAAGCCAGTTTTATTCTGTATATGCAGAGTAGCTGGAGGTGACAGTTCCTCTGACTAGATGCAGAGCGCTTCACCCGCATGATGTATAGTGCATTCGAGATTAAGCAGCAGGGCTTTCCTCATTCAAGGCTGTGGCTTCCATCCAAGGTTGAGCTCACACACCCTCTTTTCTTTAAGTACTGTATTTGGGCCACTAGTTTAATCCACATTAAGGCTGGCCTGTGCGAGACCTTTAAGATGGCAGCAAAACAGAGGAAATAACACCCAAAGCGGAATCGTTCATTCTAGAACCTGCCCAGAACAGTCCTTAGAAATTCTGGGGAGGAGGAAAATGCCCCAAGAAGCTCCTGCTAGACAGCAGGGACGATGGCATTTCTCAGGGTGGAAACAGCCTAACACAGAAGCTGCCACATGTGGTTGTCCTTGGTGCTTCGACAGCCTCTTGTCCTCCCATCATCCTCTCTAATGCGCTCATGGTTTTATCCTACTCGTTATTCTATATAAAGCAACTCCTGGCCCTGGAAATAGCAGGGTCTCATGATGAAGTCTCTGCTGGGGAGAGAGCTGTGAACTGCGGGGATATTTTTAGCTCTGAGACGCTAGGGATTTGGGGATTGGCTTGTCTAGTTTTTATTATGAATTTGTGACAGAGAGAAGGGTCACGGGGTACCACCTCTTCACCCTGTTCACCTTCTCTTGGCTCTCTGTCTCCCTGCCAAAACCACTGCCTCTCTTGAGTTCACTCCCTCCTCCTGCACTTCCTCTCTCAGTGGTTTGTATTATTTTATGCTTCTGCTGCAGTATTGTATCCCAAAGGAAGGATGCACGGAGTGTTTGCATAGGAGGCTGTGATAGATTCTAGGCCTCCAGTTTTAAGCTAGATTATCACTGGAAGCTTCTATTTTGATTGTTCCCAAGATCTCCAGCATCTTCATGGAAGAGAAGAGTGTTATTTGCTTGCTTGGTTTAGGAAGTCTATAATTTCTTTTGCTCAACCATTTTCCTCCGGGAAACAACATAGGAACATTCAAAGATGGGCTTTAACTTGGAGAGAAAGAGAACATCTGCTATCTTCTTAGAACCTAACCCACTTCGAGTTAGTGAATGATGGCTGCTAAGCATCCAAATTTCTCTAACAAAAAAGAGTTCAACAGCCAAACTAGATGAGATGTTAAATTACGGGGTTTTAAGCATACTGCAAACATATATATGGTCTAATTACCTGAGATATATATAGTATCAGGTTAGATGGATATAGGGCAATGGATTAAGGCAGAGTGGGATGAAGTTCAGCATGGCTTCATGTTAAGAGATGCAAATAGGGGCTCCTTTCTGGCAAAAGGAAGTTAACCACATGCCAAGTGTAATATGTGGTGTGCATGTGAGTCATGTGGATTTATCACAGCTGTTGAGGGGGCTGCATACTGAGGAATGGTGACTGCAGGTGAAGAATTTCACAAGAAAGAGTATCTCTGGGGCATGTGGGTGCATCATGCCTGGGATCTCTCTTTGGGGCTAGCAAATATCTTCTCATCTTGATGATTATGACCCTCCAAATCAGACCTTGGCTCATCGCTCCTAGAATGCATTGCCTATAGCGAAAGACTTCACTAAAGCATAGGGTCAAGAACTTGTAGGGCTGGGAGAGAACAGAACAGCTAGGGCTGTGCTCAAATTACAGGTGGGTGAGCCAGAACAAGCCTAGACCCTTAATGCTGCTGTGGGTGAGCCACAACAAGCTAGACCCTTAGACAGCTACAGGGTACCATGATTTGATTAAAATTGGGATGAGGGAGAGGAGTTTCTGTGTTTCATTAAGGACTTCCCCTTCCTTTCCCTACAGTCCTGCTTGCAAATCCTAATTCCTCCCACCCCCAAACACACACACACAACCCCCTTTGTCCACGGTGTCCCCCTTCCTGGAACCAAACCCTTTCAACCAGTGCTTTCCTAATGGCAAGAAAAAGTGAGAGCCAGAGCAAAGGCCATGGAGAAATGGATGGTGTCCCTGTTTGCCAAGAAATGGTCAAATGCACTCAGTTTATCCATAAACTCTCTGCATCAAATACAGGGTGAGGCCTTTTTAAGACTTCACAGATATGTGCAGTTGAAGAGAAGTCACTCAGACCTGTGTGTCAATTTACACAATGCTAAAAGGAAGGGCAGGATGGAGATGTGAAGTGCAAAGGCTGAGCAGTGTGTGTTTGCAAGGCAAAGCGGTCGGAAACAGATTGTGCATGGCTAAAGGGACAAGACAGGCATGTGAGTCAGCACAGCTTGAGAAAGGAATGCTGTGGGCTGCTGTTTGCTTGACATGCAATACTAATGGGTGACTGCAATTACCAGACAATGGCTGGGATGGTTCCCAGCTGTTGATCATTACCAAGAGGTGTGAATCCTCTGAGCTCTGCCCAGAGCAGCTCCGCAAGGCTGACCTGATCCTTAGTCAGGCGGGTTCAGCCAGTGGTCCCCATAGCAGTATGTGGGGAGAAGATGATGCCCCAGCTCTGGACAGTATTCTAATCTGCCATTAAAACACTACTTCTGTCTGTGTATCTGGACAGAGCTGACCATGAATTCTAGCAGAGTGCAGGAACTGATCTCAAGAAAGTGTCCCCATGGGGTGGGGACTCTGAACACTTGGGTTCTGTTCAGTCTTGCAAAAAATCCAATCCAATCCAGTCTAGAGCTAGGGTAGGACCATTTATCCCCTGCTTCAGTCTTCTCCAGGCTGGTGCATTTCAGATGTTTTGGACTACAACTCTCAGCATTTTTTAAATTATTGGCTATGATGTCTGGGATTGATGGGGGCTGAAGTCCAAAGCATCTGGTCTGCATCCAGAGGGGGGAAGGCTTCCCTACCTCGTTTGCCCCCAAACAGACCTGATATTTCTCTCTCTCTCTCTCTCTCTCTCTCTCTCTCTCTCTCTCTCTCTCTCTCCATGAAAGAGCAATGCTAAAACGCTCTGCCCATTTCACAGAGATACGTGACGAAAGTTTTGGACAGGAAAAAAGAGGGAGCTCCTGGCCTGCCCGCTCCACTCCCCTCAAAGACCCTCCCGCACGAGTTCTTGCGCTTCTCGGCAAGAAGGACAGACTTACAGGGCAGCCTCTTGTTGTGACTGGGTGCTTCGGGTCCTGACATCGCCTTCAGTCGACAGCCAAAGGGGTGGTCTGCCTCTTCTCCACGCACGGCCCGGAGGCGCCCTCACAGCAGGTCAGAGGCGAGTCCTTCCGCAGCGCCCTGCGAGCTTCTCATCTTTCCAGGGAGTGGTCCAGCTGAGGGGCTCCTCCGTCTGTCTCTCCGTCTGATTCTCTCCCAGCTATCGCTCGGGAAGGGCTGGCTGGGACTCCAGGCTAGCAGAACGTACCAAGTAGTCTATCAGCAAAGGGGGTAGGAGGTGCAGCTCGTACCCGGGGCTGGTTGTACCATTGCCAAGATCGGAAGCGGAGGAGCGCGGGGGGTGGATCTGTGGTTTTGGTTTCACTGCGCTGGAAACTGAGCGTACCGCAGAAAGCCCGTAACAAACCAGAGCACCCACTCACAGGTTCTTAAAAAGAGGAGGGCGGAATTTCGCGGCACTAGGGCAGGTGTGAAAACCACACTGAGATTAACGCGAAAGAGGAGCTGGCGGCGCAAATGGCGAGGGGAGAACGAAGGGCTGAGGGCCATCGGAGAGCTCGGCGCGGCGCGGCGCGGCGCGGCGGTTACAGCATTGCACTGGGAGCCTGGGATCGCGGGTCTCGGTCCCCGCGCAGCCATGAGGATTGTGGGGCGCCTTGGGCAAGGCACTGACTCTCAGCCTGCCTAGCCTAACATTAAAAAAAGGAGGATTGTGCAAGCTGCTTTGGGTCCTTTGCAAAAGGGAAAATAAAAAGTGAGGTATATTCTTTTGCCCGCTGTTTATTTACGATTTCATTTTATTCTATTTTTATGTCTGGCTGCTGCATACATGTACACACACACACACACACACGTGTGCACACATTTCCTCCCCATCCAGTTCTGAGGTGAAAGAGGTGGACAGCTCCCTCGTTCCACTGCCATGGCCACGCATGGGGCTGCTGCTCCTTGGCTGCCAGCGGTAGGGAATCCCAGCCCGGGCCGCAGTGTGTGTGCGCGGCCGGGGAGCGGCAGGGCCGCGCTGGGGCCACGTGGGGGACGGCCAAGGATCGCATGTGCTGCCTAAATAGCACTGGGAGAGCGAGCTCAGGAGGCAGACGCTGGGAAGGCAGGGGGGCAACCCTCCGGAGTTCTTCCCTGTGCCCAGGACACACCTGAGGGATGGTGGAGGATGCTCTTCCGATGCCGGTGCTGAAGTAAACTTCAACGGCCAGTCCAGTCAGCTTCTGTACTTGGAAAGGGTAGGGAGCTTCCTCTTGCTCTTTGCCAAAGACAGCAAAATGTAATGGACAGGGAAGGTGCTTCACCCTTGCCCTGGGGGCCCTGTCTTGCTCCATACTGCCCTGCGCCAGAGCGCCTTGCAAGCACTCTGTTTCAGGGGGTCTGTCAATGGCAAATGGTGAAAAGTAGCCTGAGCTGTACAATGTGCATGGATGCAGGGCAGAGGGAGGAGGGTGGGGAGAGGTCTTCAGGTTTTACCTTCACACCTCATTGCAGAGGAGTTCAGGCATATAGGGCAGATAGGTGGATATCCAAGGTCTCCTTGACTGCCTGTCCAATATCAGTGATGAATGCTTCGGGCGTCTCAAATCACACGGGACATAGGATGCGGCCACTATAAACAAGATTCTAAGCAGTTCAGAGCCCTTGGAGTCTATCGTTATATAACCCACTAGCAGCATCTAATTTGCCTCTCCCGAGGACAGATTTCCCATTCTAGACATCCTTTTCTTGCTGTGCATTTATGATGAACTGGTTTGATCTGCTTTGACCCATTATTAACTGATTCTGCACAAGATGTATAATTAATTCATGGAATTCTACGCCACACAAGATGTGGTTATAGCCACTAGCTTAAATGGGTTTCAGAGCGGATTAGACAAATGAATGGAGCATAAACCTATCAATAAGTATTACTCATGATGACTGTATGGCGGGGTGCAGAACCATTTTATTTTCAGGTAAACGCTCAGAGGTTGCATTCCAATGACAGGTTGGGCTAATAACCAAAATGTTACAGCTCTAAATCTCAAAATGCCAGCATATGTTAACTTGCAGCTAAGCGGGCCAAGGGGTGGGGGTGAAAGTGGGGGAAATGCATATTATCATGGTAGGAATAAGGGGATCTAGAGGTGGGGCCAGGGGAAGGAGGTGTGGCCTTCTGAGCATCCCTGGAGCCCAGGTGTAGTCCCCAGCCTTAGGTTCTGCACCCCTGCTACATGGAATCTCCCTGTTCAAAGGCATTGTGCCACCAAACGCCCATGGCTGGTTGGATGCGGGGAGGAAACTGAGGCAGGGCTCCTGTCAGTGGTGCCCATGATGATGACTGTATTATTTCCAGAATCAGGGAACACCAGCCCCTGGACACTGATTGCTAGGGGAGAACTGGAAAGGGCTGTTGCTCCCGTGCCCTGCTGCTTCTGGTTGTGGTTGGCCACGGCTTGAACAGAATGCTGGACTGCAGCGGACCCTTGGTACGATACAGCAAGGCTCTTCTTTATAGTCTTATGCTTTCTATTGCACTCCCATTGAGCACAGAGATGTAAGTATTTTTTGCATTCTGGCTGTTCCTGACATGCGTAGACAGGCATTGTTGTTGTCCTGGCAGCATCAGGGGATGGCAGTAGGTGTTACCCAGTAGCATGTCTTCACTGTTTTTTAACTGGGGGCAGGGGTAGCTGTTCAGTCTGGATGGCCCTTTGAAATAAGTAACAGACTCCTGGCCTGCAAATGCAGCAAAATGAGGTGGCAGGTGGCACCGTAACACTTCAAGCTGTAGGCTGGGCCTTTTAAAATGGCCCCTTTATTTTAAAACTGCTTTTAAATTAAACAAAAATTTTAGACATCAAATAAAGATTATAGCCCAGTCAGTCCTGTACTGTGTTATTTTCCTACTTGGAAACAGTTTTGTTTATTAAAAAATGTCAAACTGGGATTCTTCCATTTCACAGAGCTAATGTGAGGATAAAGTGGGTTGGGTGGGAGAAAGGAACATGCAGCCTGCCTGGGGTTCCCTGAAGCAAGCATGAGATATGTAGTGGAATAATGTTACTGCTGCTTCTAATAAGAAAGCCACCAAAATTGCACATCAACTTGGATTGCTGTGGATCAGATGAGACGGAACATCAGAATGAAGTTTGGGAAGGACGGCACTGAGCACGGATGTTGCGAATTGAGACAGAAGCTCATTACGAGCAGCCAAAGAGTTCGGTTGTCCCACGCAAAGCTCTGTACGGAGCAATGATCCCCTGCCACTTTCCCATTAACTCCACGTCGTCATTTCCAGATCAGTTTTTCAGATTAGTTTGTGGCTGTTCACTGGGAAAGAGAGCAGAAGGATAAATATGACAGTTGCCAAGAAACCGCTGCTGATGTTCTCTGCACTTTCTGTCCCCAGATCAAAGCTAGACTGCCTGGAGGAACTGGAAAAGTGGGAGTGGATATGGGAGGGGAAAGCGAAAGTGGGAGGAGGGTGCCCCAGTCCTCACTGTGTCCATAGAAGTACTTCGGCTCCTTCCTTCTCCCCTGATGGGATGAAGGCTCTGTACTTGCCACTGAGTAGACAAAGACTGATTGAGAAGCTGGCTTGCATATTTAGCTGCTTGTTTATTCACAGCACATATTATATACACACATGTGCATGCATACACAGTTGCACATGCAAGATAAAAACATCCCATATTCATTTTAGCACTAGCTGTGACTGAAAGGGTTTGGGAGGCTTTTCATGCGTCACCCTGTGCCTTACCAGCACCACCAACCTAAGACTGAATAGCTTTGTTTACACAGCACAAGAATGTTTAATAAGCCACGGTGGTTTGTTGGCTGGCTAGAATGGTTAACAAACCACCCTGCGAGCCAAGAACAGACCACGCGTCCTGGCTACTGTGTGAATCAGCCCAACCACCTACCTGTGTTGAGTTCACATGTAATGCCAAGCTGAACCTGGCAAGGGTAATTAAGGAAATTAGGTGGCATGTGCATGGAGGTGGTTGATAAGCCACAGCTGCTTACAAAATACCCATGCACATCCAAACTCAGTGAATTGCTATAGAAATAGCTATAGAAAAGAGTGGAGATGACTTTGTGTTCCACCTCTCTGGGTCTGGAAGAGGGTCATTGCATCCACCCATGACCATCATATTTCTGACCCTGCTTTCAGCATCTTCTGCCTCCTCATGATTATCCCTTTTAATGTTTGACATAGGGCTGGCCCAAGATGTTTTGTTGCCTGAAGCAAAGAACAGAATGGTTTCCCTCTACCCAGTTCTACATACAGAAGGTGAGACTAGCAGCTGAATACTACTTCAGCACTAGCCACAGGACATGGTCCTCCGCCATTCCTGCGTGCCTTAGGCCAGTTTAGGGGCTACAGGGCAGACCGAGTAGTTAATAGAGCTCTGTTCTCTAGTACCCCATTGCCATTCTCCACTTCTCAGCATCTGACACCTGAAATGGTCACTTCATTCTGCCTAATGGTAGGACCAACCTTGGGCTGGCATAGATATATACTCCACCGTCACAGCGTGGGTCTGCAGCCAGGAATCAAGTGCTGGTCTCTCTTCCTTATGTTGCTGGAAGAGCTAACCAGAGCATGAGGGCTATTGGCAATTGTTGTTGTAGTTAGTTGCGAAGCCACGTCCGACCCATCGTGACCCCATGGACAACATTCCTCCAGGCCTTCCTGTCCTCCACCATCTCCCATACAAGCCAACTAAGGAAATTGGGTGGCATGTGCCTTAAGACCATGGAAGGCCAATGGAACTCCATGGCTTACTATATAACTTCCAGGCTCTGCTGTAATTCCTCTAGAAGTGCAACAAGTCATTGCTAAAATAAATTGCTGATGGTGCTAAGGGTCTTATGGCAGAGAAAGCAAGCAAGCTGCAATGAAAAGAGCAGGAGAAGGAGCATGTCATGGGACTCTGAGGGGTCAGATACTGTTGTTTTTGTTATGTGTCATCAAGTTATCTCTAGCATTTTCCGTATTTTGTTATGTGCTGTCAAGTTACCCCTGACTTACAGCAACCCAAAGAATGAAAGTCCTCCAGAAGGGCCTGCCCATGACAGCCCTGCTCAGTTCTTCTAGGTTCAAGGCTGTGGCTTCCTCTATGGATTCCATCCATCCCATATTTGTTCTCCTTTTTCTTCTTTTGCTTTTGAATTTTCCTAGCAGGTTGTCTTCTCCAGTGAATCCTGCCTTCTCGTGGTGTGTATGAAGTATGACAGCCTCAGTTTCGGCATTTTCACTTCTAAGGAAAGCTCTGGGGCTTGAGGGAATGAGATGCAGATCACAAAAAGGGAGACCAATCTGAAATGTGGGGAAAAGCTCCAGAAACTTTAAAGATCTATCACTTGTCCTTCAAGCCATTTTAAAGAAGCATTACTGTATTTCCTTTGATGAAAGTTTCCTTGAACTGCACTG